TTAAACATTCTGTACAACCAGGTATACAGGGGGATTCATTAAACATTCTGTACAACCAGGTATACAGGGGGATTCATTAAACATTCTGCACAACCAGGTATACAGGGGGATTCATTAAACATGCTGTACAACCAGGTATACAGAGGGATTCATTGAACATTCTGTACATCCAGGAATACAGGGGGATTCATTAAGCATTTTGTTTAACCTGGTATACACAGGGATTCATTGAACATTATGTTTGTTTTTAAATTAATTATTTAATTTACATAATTAGAAGTTTTGAAGCTTTTTAAAGGCCTTTGGCACTTACCTTAAAAATTTAATTGTAATAAATTTTAAATGTACATTTCTCTTTTAAATAGCAATTAATAGAAGTTTTGTCTAAATGCAACGTTTATGTTTATCCCAGGTATGCACTTAACGAGTAATTATGGTTCATGCTTCCATGATTTTATACTAGACTGCAAAAGTTTAAAACTATATACAAAGACAAATTTCTAGAATTAAAAATTAACTACCCACTCTCACATTTTAAATAAATTCACTCGCTTCAAACTTGAGTTTTCATATTTCAATATCTTTGCAACTTAAAGGTGTAAACCTTACTATCTGTGATAGTTGATTTAGTAGCATAATTTGAAATATTAAAACAGGTTACAATATTACTAGCTTGTTAAACTCCCACCGTTTACCCGCACTGTGTTAAATTACGAATTGGCTGTTGGCTTTTTTTCCTTATAAAAGTTGACCCACTTAGAATCATAGAATCTCAAAACCAAGCTAAGAACATTCCCGTGGTTTTCCAGAGGTTTCCAATCAAAATTTGGGGCAAATTGGTCATGGGGTTCCCTAGTTATGATCGGATATACAAACAAACAAACAGACAAACAGAAACTACTACTTTATCAGTTCATCCCAACACTTCGGAGTAATCGAAAGAACTTTTAAAATGTTGTTTTCTTAACCAAAAATAATGATAATTTCGTTTTTAATTAAATGTTTTATGAAGCTCTTAAAAACTATTCCCACATTTTTGATGGGTGTATTTACTTAGTTCTATGATTATTTTGAGATTTAGGCATAGATTAAAAACAATATAGTTAGAACATTAGATGTCGTCTTTTCAAGATTTTAGGGTTTTTCGTTCACAATAATCCTCAGGCAGAAGCCCACAAGCGATACACATGCTTTCTCTCTGTCTTCTGCCTCAGGGTTCTTTGAACAAAAACCCCATAAATCTTGAAAAGACGACACCTGTGTTAGTATCTGTATTGTTACAAATCTATGGATTTAGGTATAAAAGTAAAAAACCCATTGAGAAATTGTCAAGACGACATTCCATAAATTCCTTCGATTGCTTCAAAATTCTAGGTTGAACTGAGAACGACACATTTTAACCATGGTTAATTTGGATTTTAACCATGGTAAACTGAAGGAAGACGACATATTTTTGTAAAATTATTGTTATAGTTCGCGGCATCATCGCAGCTTAGATTTTTAACTACCCTGGGTTAAAGTGGGTTTAACCATGGCTAAACGGACGCGCTCTCCGTTAATATGTTTAAAATGAGAGCCAAACCAAACCATCAATTCTAGCCATAGTAGAAATTTTATTATGGTAAAACAAATATCTTAAGCTCCGGTGTCTGTAAAATAGATATAAGGATTACAAAATTAGATTTTTGACGCGGATTTTCAGTTTTCAGTTTAATTTGAAAGAGATTGACGCGGCCAGCTCATATCTTATCTTCCTGAAACTAGGACTTTAAATTGTCCAATGAGCATGGGAAAACAGACCCATTTCACCAATTTAGTAATTCAATAAGTGTCTGATCTAGTAAAACTATTTGCTTTGTAACAACACCAATACATATATTACTAAAGTAGTCTGCATGAGAAAGTGAAAGTGAGAACCAGAAAACTTGGGCTTATAGGAAATGGTCTTTGCTCACTTCAGAATTGTTGTCTCTCATGCTAAAATGGACTATTTTAAACAGTGAAACCCTTAATAACGAATTCATCGGATGGATTTATCAAATGTCGTCTTAACAATTTTTCAATGAGTTTTATACTATATTAAGTAAATTTCATTATTTTAGAATTTTAGAAGAGTTACATATAATCATTTAATTAAAAAAACTAAATATTTGCAACATTCCATTATCAGAAAGTGAAGAATACGACATTTGATGAATTCTTTCGATGTTTTTCGTTATTAAGGGTTTCACTGTAGTAGATTTTAATTGTAAAAGTCGTCTTTATGTTCCAAACGTTCTGGTTCATAACTTTGAACATTTTGACCAATTTGCCTCAAATTTTGCTGGGGGTAACTCGGTAGGTCCATGGGAATATTCTTCATCATAAGCATGGGTTGACTTTAATAGAGAATGTTTGAATCGCAGGAACAGCCGGGTTCCCAAGCTAACACATTAATAATAATATGCTTGATCCACAAAGTCGTATTTACATAATAAGATAATTTTACAAAGTTTCTAGATTACACCCTTGAAACCAAACATCTTTAATTATAGTGTTTAAAAGATGACGATCAACTTTGTAGTCTTGGGTATATGTATATTAGGGGGATGTGAATTTTCAAAAATAAAGCAATTTGCTTGAAACCATTATGGCGATAGTCAATTGTTATGTAAAAAAAACAATTCTAAGAACAATTTCGTTATGACACTTTTTGATTGGAGGTCGTCTTTATTTGCTAACTGGCAATGCAAGGTTTAACCTATATATACTCTTTTTCATAAATCTGTTAAGCAATATATGTTTTTAATAAAAGATTACTAATTTAAAGATTTATTAGTTTTGTATGATAACATTTTTTTCTCACAAACCTTTTATTGAATCCACTGGAGTAAGGTCTCGAAGGGGTTTGAAGTGTCTCAAAGGGGTTTGAACGGGTCTTGAAGGGATTTGAAGGGTCTCAAAGGGGTTTGAAGGGTCTCAAAGGGGTTTGAAGGGTCTTTTACTTTTACTTTAAACAGTATGAAAACTTTATAAAACAAAAAACATAATAAGAATTTTAACAATTTTGCCATAGTTTGGCTTAAACTTTAAATAGGGTTCCAAACGGAATTCCGTTGCGCGCAATGTTTGTTTCCACTTGCGCCATTTTATTGCGTGGAATTGCGCAATAAAATGTTATACTAACTACATTTTTGAATGCACGCCTGATTTAGCTGTAGCTGAAGTTACTACTGTGAATTATCATGAAAAATAAATTCAGACTGCCAGTGTCCAATCATATAAATGTCTCAAAATTATTTCATTTTGATAAATTCTTGTTTATGTGGTTCAATTCATTATATTTTACAATATTTTATTTTATTAGAAAACGTTTTAACTGATTTGGAAAAATGTGAGTGGTCCGCGCCATTCTTAGATAGTTGCGCGAGCCGCAAGAGAAATAATCAAATTCAAAACAAATTAATTTAAAAATATTATAAAATATAAACTATATATAAATGTGGCGAAAGATAATCGATGACTATATGTTGTAATATCTGAATGATTAAATTGATTTTTTTACGGTCTAAGTCATAGGTTGCAATTTTCTGATTTTGTATGGGCGTTAAGTTATTCGTTATTAGACGTCCTTAACAATTTTCTCCTTATAGACGCAACAGATAGAAGTAAGATTATTAGAGATCAAAAGCGCTTTTTTATCGCATTAAGCCTATACACCCTTTCATTTTTCGCGAACACTCCCTTTAAAGAGTTTAAACTATTTTGTTAAATATATTTATTTAGAAAGTTATTTTTTTCTTATCTTTTAAAATTAAAGCCATTTTTCATTAGTAATTATTTTTCAATATTTGTGTGGATCATTCCTAGATCATTTTTTATCCTGAACCAGTTTGAAGTTATTTTCACCGCTGTACGTTTTGTGGTCCTCAGGTTAATTTGTGCTCTCAACGATTCACAACGGTACCCTTAATATCACAAGCCTTTTTTTCAGTTGTATCTTAAAAAGTGTGAGAAGGTCATAATTTTCAGTTATCAAACTTTTATATTAAACGTGTCACGATCATTGATATTGGTAAAGATAGATAGATACCATCGGAGTAAGGCAGGGTGAACACTATTTAATTGTGTTCAACACAAATTGTTATACATACAATGTATGCAAAGAAAATTGTCTCTATTGGTATTTTTGTAAGTTCCTCAAAACTAGTCGAATATCTTGAACATTGACAGACTTTGCCACGTATATTCGGCTTAAATTATCAGAGGCCGTTCCTTCCATAATCTACATTAGTCGACAACTTGACGTCTTCTATATTGGTCGTCAAGTGACGGAGAAATTATCTATCTATCAGATAAGAATTTAGCATGAGACATCTAGTGGCCAACATATCGTCCCTTAAAGTAAGTGAACTACACGACCAATATCTATAGAGAGAACGGACTCTGGGAGGTTTAATTTTGGATTAAAGAGAACGTAAAAAGGAAATTAAAAAAAAATTTTATTTGTTTCTTAATTCTAGTTGTGGTCTGCTGGTAGTAAACTTGAAATCCCGAACCTTGGTCCACCTGATCTACCAGACACAGAATATGTGAGTCTAGATTCCTGTCCATTGCCTTAGAATTTGTTTATATATTCATTGTATTAATTCGGTATTATTATAACTACTTGGAGAAATTTGACAATGATTCCCCCTGGGGGCCCTGAGTCACTTATTATTTTGGTATTTTAATCCTTACTAATTGGGATTGGGATTTATTTTAACTTTTCTGATCTTTTAACAATATTTGTTATTCAATGGGATCATTCTAAAGCAGTCTTTAAACTATGTGATCAATTTTTTTGTATTTGATTTTGTTTTATTTTACTTGATATGATTTGNAGTGAAGAATTGTAAATGTTAAATACCAAGTACATGAACCTTCTGTGCATTTCATATTTTACAAGAATTGTAAATGTTAAATACCAAGTACATGAACCTTCTGTGCATTTCATATTTTACATTTTCTAAAATTAGGATTGATCTTGGTGTAATTGCTCCTGATGCAGCTGTTGTTGCTTCTCTCAATTTTGTTTCTTATGCCATTGTTGTGCTTATTGCTATCTTTGCTGCTCCTGATATTGTTGCACTAGATGATTTGTTGCTTTTGCTGCTCTTGTTATTGTTTTTGTCGCTATTGGTGAGCTTGTTGCTCTTGTTGCTCTAGTTGCTTTTGTCGCTCTAGTTGCTCTTGTCGATCTTGTTTCTCTTTGTACTAGTGTTGATCTTAATGTTGTTGCTATTGAACTTTCTATCCTTGCTTTTTGCTATTATTTCTCATAATGAACTTTTTTCTTGTTGATTTTTTGCTCTTGTTGCTATTATTGAACTTTTCTCTCTTGGTGAACTTGTTGCTATTATTTCTCTTAATGAACTTTTTTTCTTGTTGATTTTTTGCTCTTGTAGCTATTGTTGAACTTTTCTCTCTTGGTGGACTTGTTGCTATTATTTCTCTTAATGAACTTTTTTTCTTGTTGATTTTTTGCTCTTGTTGCTATTGTTGAACTTTTCTCTCTTGGTGGACTTGTTGCTATTATTTCTCTTAATGAACTTTTTTTCTTGTTGACTTTTTGCTCTTGTTGCTATTGTTGAACTTTTCTCTCTTGTTGGACTTGTTGCTATTATTTCTCTTGTAGCTCTTGTAGCTCTTGTTATGTTTAAATGTTATTGCTATTGCTATTATTACGATTAGGGATCCAGTAGTATTTATGGATGAACAGTTAAATCTCAGTTTTCTTCAGACATTAAAAACATCAGGTTTAGATTATTTTACCTTAAAATATAGAACTTTTATCTGAATTTTGATTTAGAATAAAATTTCCTTGCTTGCAAGACAGTTCAGATTTAAAACGTGTTTTTTAATGGAAGTGTTCGTTAAAAATGTAAGGTGGTAAAGGCTTACAGCGAAAAAATATCGATGGTGATTGCTACTAATCTTACTTTTATCTGCACCATCCATACAAATTCAGGAAGTTGCAATAATTGACTCTGATCGTAAAATCAATTTAATTCCAAACAAATCATTCTGATAATACCACCGTTTATCATAGATAATTTTTGACGCGTTCGTATATAGTTGATTTTTCATAATATATATATTCTTCTAACTATCCGAGTGTTATTGAGAATATGAATTTCTTGGATTTTAGATAGCGAAGACGATATTTTCAATCCATGTATTATTATCCTCGGCGAATTTGATTTCAACTCTGGTATCTAAATCCAATGCCAACTTTGAATTTATAGTGCCGGTTTTTATTCGTCGTAAGTCTATACCCCCTTTTAATTTTTCGCGAACACTCCCTTTAAACATCACTGTTGTACATTGTGCTTTTAGGATCTCTCAATATCGATGTTTGAGGAAATGTCAATTTGAAAGTTTTTTCAACCATTTTTTATGTTAGAAAAAATCAAGTGCTTTCATTTATTTTCAAAGATCAAATCTGTAAAAGCCATAAGCTGTGAAAAATCAAGATTTAATCAAATGTCAATTTCATAAATCATCAATGATAAAGTAGAATGTGTCTTGTCATGATATTAAAAGGGTGTTTCCGTAATATTTTTATAATATTTTAGGAAAAAAGCTCGAGTTTCCGATTCTTACAAGCAACTTCTTCAGGTGGGATAAATTTGATCTAAAGACTAATAAGACAATTCTCTTTGTTGAGATCGCATATGGTGAAGAATTATTAACTAAAGACTAATAAGACAATTCTCTTTGTTAAGATTACATATAGGAAAGAATGCTTAACTAAAGACTGATAAGATAATTCTCTTTGTTAAGATTACATATGGTAAAGAATGCTGCTCCCGGACTAAACCTGGATCCTAAGAAATCTTCTTTCAAGAAACTATCAAAATTTTTGGCTGTGAAGGAGAAGGAAGGAATCATAAAAGTTAAGGAACTACAAAAAGGTCAGTTGATGAGATTTCTTTCATTCATTTTTTTTGTTTGGTCGGTTGGTTAGTTGGTTGATTGATTAATTTATTAATTAATTAATTCATTGATTGCTTTATTGAATGTTTCATTAATTTATTCATTGACCGACACCATGATCATTGCTTGAAAGGTTCATTAATCGAATCATTGACTGATTCATTGACTGATTCATTTTTTGATTCATCGATTCCTTTATTCATTGATTTATTTATACATTTATTGAGTCATTTATTGATTAATTGATTGATTCATTGATTACATCATTAATTTATCGATTAATTCATCGATTGATTCATTGATTAATTCGTTGATTGATTCGTTGATTGATTCATTGATTAATTCATTGATTAATTCGTTGATTGATTCATTGATTAACCCATTGATTGATTCATTGATTGATGAATTGATTAATTCATTAATCCACTCATTGGTCAATTTATTCACTGAATCTCGTAACTCTTGAGTAGACATATTCATTAATCTCATAAACCTGATGTAAACATGTTGTTTGATCTTATGTTTGAGGACATTTCTTAAATCTGAAAACCCTTGAAAAAAAAAAAAAAAAAAAAATATTCCTTGATATCATAAACCTGAGGTAAACATTTACTTTCATCTTATGATCTGGAGTAAACATTTCTTTAATCTCATAAACCTGCCAGTAAAAACATTCTTTGATCTAATAATCCTTGAGTAAAAACATTCTTCGATCTCATAATCCTTGAATAAACACCTTCTTTAAGCTCAAAATCGCGAGTAACCTATATTCTTGAATCTTATAACCCTGAAGTAATCACATTTTTGAATCCTATACCCTGGAGTTGACATACTATTGAATCTAATAGACCTGAAAGTGACCATGCTCCTGGGTCTTATGATCCTGGACGGAGTTAACCCATTTTTGAATATTTTAAATCTGGAGTAGCATTTCTTTAATCTCATAAAACTGCAGTAAACGCATTCTTTAATCTCATAATTTTTGAGTAACCAATAAAAAATCTCATGATCTGGAGTAACATTTCATTAATCTCATAAACCTGTAGTACACCCATTCTTTGATCTCATAACACTTGAGAAAAAATTTCTTTTAACTCAAAAATCTGCGATAAAAATATTTTTTGATCTCGTAATCTGGAGTAACATTTCATTGATCTCAAAATCTGGAGTAAACATTTTTTAAATCTCATAATCTGGAGGAAATCTATCTTTAACCCCATAAATTTGCAGTAAACAAATATTATTCGATCTCATAAACCTGCAGTAACCCTAGCATTTAATCTCATAACTCTAAAGTAAAAATATTCTAAATTCTTATAATCTATATAAACATATAATTTAATCTCATTTTGTTGGGCCAGAAAATCTGTTTTACTATTCTAAAATTTCTGACTAAAGGTCATATCTTTCTGAAAATTTGCGAAAATCGCCATAATCATTTGAACGACCATGAAAGATTAATGAATTTATCTATTTTGGTGTCAATTGTCGAGTTTAGCAGGTAAATGTTGACTCGATGTCGGACAAATCAATTTGTAAAAAGCTTTAGGTTTATGATGAAAGATATCTTTATAAATGAACATTTAAGAATTGAAAATTTCAAAATATCCAGCTACATATTTCTTATGTACAATGGATTTTAAACGGATAGTTTTAAACTAGAAATTGTAAATAAAGAATCTTGCTTTAATTGATAGCTGCTGTCAATTTTTTTAAAAAAAAACTAAATTTCCTGGCAGAATTTCCTAGATAACCATTGTTCAGAAAATATACTAGGCTGAGGGTGGATATAGATCTGCATACGGATAAGCTCTGGCTCTGTGATCAGGTTTAAAGATTTAAGATACCAGTAATAAGGTATATAGAAATAACCGTTTATCAATCAATCAATCAATCGATCAGGTTTAATTAAAAATACAATCAATAAGCTCATGATCTGGACTAAACATGCTTTGATCTCATAATCTGGAGTACATTTTTTTAATCTCATAGAAGGAGGAAATAGATCTTTAACCCCATAATTCTGCAGTAAACAAATGTTATTTGATCTAATAAACCTGAAGTAACCCTAGTATTTAATCTTGTAACTCTAAAGTAAAAATATTCTAAATTCTTATAATCTATATAAACATATATCCTGAGCCCGTTCTCTCCTGAGAAAGTGGTCGTGTAGTTCACGTACTTTGGGGGACGATAAGTTGGCCACTAGATGTTTCGTGCTGAATTCTTATCTGATAGATAGATATTTCTCCGTATATTTGACGACCAATATAGAAGACGTCAAGTGGTCGACAAATGTAGTTTATGGAAGGAACGGTCCTTTTGCAATAGCCATTTGAAAGGCCGGTTCTGCAGCCTTCTTATCCCTATCATCGTGTCAATATCTCGGCCATAACTAAACTTGAATGATGGGCATGACGGCCATAGACTAACTTGAAAGGTGGGCACGACGGCCATAACTGAAATTGAACGATGGCACAATGGCCCTACTAACTTGAATGATAGACACGACGGCCATAACCTAATTTGAAAGATGGGCACGACAGCCATAAACTAACTTGAATGATGGGCACGACGGCCATGAACTAACTTGAATGATGGGCACAACGGCCATAAACTAACTTGAATGATGGGCACAACGGCCAAAAAACTTACTTAAACAATGGCACGACGGCCAAGTAAAACTCTAAAACATATCACTACAAGATAATTGTGTGAATGCTTATATATTCAATATTTCCCGTTAAAAACTGACTTTCAGTGCTGTGAACCATCCTGAAATAGTTTAAATTTAAGCCCCTAGAACGTGTGGCTTTTGTCGGGCTGCGAGAAAAACTGATCTCGGAACAGACGCGGCAATACAACGAAAAACAGATTTTCGTCGTCTTTTCTTGAATTTGAACTCGGACCCGCATTTTGTCCCTTGTCGCATTTCGCCATGCCTTTCCACCGAAATCATCACATTCCATGTTTTTGTCCCAAAACAATAAATAACGTTGCATGTACTGTCAACAGAGAACAGCTGATTTGTATTGTATTCAATGACCCTTTATCTGAATAATTGGTAACATAGCAACCGACCTATGTGGTTAAATGGGACTAGGCTCTATGACCATTCATCGTTTTATAAGGATAAAGATTAATAAAAAGATAATTTAAGAAGCCGGAAGGAAGTTTGAATAGGGTGGAATTATTTGTGTACAGTGTGTTCAAATTATTGCGCATTTAATATCTAAACCATTTTTAAATAAAATCTTAGAAGATAGTCATGCATTCTAGTCATAGAATAAGGGAGACATCCTCCCCCTCTAGACAAATCATGATAGGGTTAAGGAAATTTAAGTTTGTTAACTATAGTCATTAACTTTAATTGCATCTTTTGTTCTAAACGCGGTACGTCCGCGAATTATTTTTAAATTAAACTTACATAAAACCGATTAGAACTGAGGAGAGAAGGAATATAACTGAATGAAGATCTGCTGAAGACCACATGATGTCAAAATCTAGTCTTAATGCCTTATGCATTGAATATTCATTATGATCACATGATTTTCAAGCAAATATATTTTTTTTCTTTTCGGAAATGCTATATTTGAATATCGTCATATTTATTTCAAAGACGACTTTTATGTAAGATAAAATTACTTACGGCATTTGGCGGAATTTTTAAAATTTCGTCAGTTACAAAAAGATTAGTATTGCACGTAGTGAAGAAACCCGGTTTTGAAACGTGTGAATACTGGTTCTAGATCGATTTATTCCACTTAAACTCCTTGGTAATTTCCTAGTATACGATTTTTGGACCCCCCCCCGCCCCCCCCCTCCTATCAATTTTGTACATGGGTGTTACATGAAGTTTCTTAACTTAACCTAACCCGTGGCCGCAGCGCTCGGCCCCCTAGCCCATCCTAGCCGCAGCGCTCGGCCCAGAAAGTATCTTAACCTAACCTAACCCTAT